TGATAATTTAGTACACTTGGTCCTGCCAACCGACCTTACCTTCAGTTCATACTACCTATATTGAACCCTAACTATATTGTTCTGCTGAATCTTGCTCCACTATTCACAAAACCTATTCTTGTTATTCTTCAAGGTTTTTGACTTCTTATAAAGTAATCTGTTCATTAGGACGCATGCATACATATATAATATGTTCATAAAGATGTACGCGGGGACCTACTGGAAGCACTCATTAAGAAAGCTAGGGAGATGGAATATGGGGTACGAACATGTCTGGTACCAAGCAATATATTTGCGGTAACCATAATAATCATAGTCTCAGAGCCTCACATCAAAAAAGGTGGGAGGGTGGAGTTAGCTGATCAGTAGATATGGTGGGGGTTACTAAGGTGAATCGTCCCATTCTGCAGGAACAGCATTAAAAAATTTGAAGGCTCGAGATATTTCTGATTTTCATGAGGGCTTAAATCTTTATCTTGAGAAAGATAACAATGAACGCCTTGACAGATCATGCTTCTACCTTTAAATATATACCATTCACCCAGCCTATTGTTGAGATGCGACCATGTGGGATCTGCTCAGATTTATGGGGCATCTTATAAATTAACTTGCTGTCTATCGTCAGATATTTTCATACCACTCCACAATGTCTTATCTCATTTATTTTCTGGCAACGTCTTTACTTGATCCTCATTTTACTCCATTAAACTTAACATCTTATAGCTCTTCATTACTTATTATACTCCTACTCTCTGAAGGGTACGGTTGTGCACTAAATGCACAAAAAGGTATAAAATAAAAACAACTGGCATGAGGATAATTGTATTAAAACCAAAAGTGGATATCATGATAGTTTGTGATATATCTGTAGCATTATACATTGCAAATGAATGTTGTTACCCTAGGGTGTTTCCTTTATTAATGCATTTATTAATGATACTTGCACTTACCTATTTCATTACAATTTAATGATTCACCTCAGCACTTTAATTTTTCTAAAACAGATTCCAATCCCTTGTAAAAGGTGTACTTACCTCAATATTGGTTGGTTATCGTATGCCTACAACCACGGGATGAAAACGGAACGAAGTCGATTTTCCCGCTCAACCTGGAGGACAACTGTACAATTCAATAACTATACGGCCTAATTCAGAAAATGAGTGTATCATATGTATCGAATATTTAACAGTTGAAATACGATTAACTTGTAGACAATCTACGATTTGATATTATATCATACTTGATCGTGCCTGTAAAAATGGCATGCATTTTCATGTAAATTTGTAAATTTATATGAAATACATTATTATTATTACTAAGAAGACATTGACATTAAGTAGGCAACAAGTTGAATACATTCCAAGGGCATACAGCAATAAGTTAAGGAAGTTGATGAAACAGTAATATTCCACTAAGGATATATCACTACTGCACTCAATACACAAGTCACTGAAATCTATTAAGCGCCTACGCTCTTAAAAAGACCTCGACGAATATTTAAGTGCACTTAAAAGTACCTCTGAAGCTTGTAACCCCATACACTTCTTAAAAAACGAATATACTCGACGAGGGACATCTCGTAATTACTTCATGACAAAGTGATCTACAATAGGCCTGCCACCATCTGTGGACTTTTTAGTGAGTGGTTTGCGAACTTCGGCCTACAAATGCACACCCCTGGTGGAACCGCACCCCTTACTAGTTTCTTCCTGCGGAACACAGAACAAGCAGCTAGCACGGGACCGGATTGCCTTGCTTCAATAATTTTTAAAAGCAGTGGATGCGACATTCCACTCTTACTTCCTAAATTCTTCTCAATATCTGTGAACACCGCCACTTACCCTGACGAGTGAAGAACCAGCTTCATGATTCCACACTACAAATCTGGTGATAAGGCAAACGTTCGCAATTACAAATTTATAAATATAAGCCCAGTTACCTCGCAAATCTTGGAGAAAGTATTCAAAGATCAATTATGAGACTCTTTACCTAGGGAGGATCCTGTTACAAGGTCTCAACACAGATCTCTCAAAAATACGCCCAGCTTCGCTTGCCACTCTGACTTTTCCAACTGCATCACTAGTAGTCGCGAAGCACGTAAGCTAGTTGTTGTTCTCTACTTTGATGTATCTAGGGCATTTGACATGGTATCTAACAGTATTCTCTTTGAGAAGCTGTACTCACATGGAATTCGAAATCCATTACTGAACTGGTTAAAATCATTCCTAAGAACAGGGTACAAACAACCGATGTCGGGTCAGTATTGTCTCATGCTAGGCAGATCCCAAGTGGGGTTGTGCAGGGTAGTGTCCTAGGACCACTTTTATTTGCAGTCTACATTAACAATATTTGTAACTGCTCCACCTCAGGTAAATCATTCCTACATATTGACGACCTCGAAGTAGTTTACTCCTGCTACAGTCATGAATTAAGCGATATGTTAAGAAAAATACATCTTGAACTAAGTGGTCTCGCAACATGGTGTGGTGAATCCTGTCTAAGATTTAACATTGACTAATGCGGCTGGATTTGTATCGGTAACAGTAACCTTGACCCAGCTCCTGAAGAAAATGGGCGAAAACTAGCCAAGCTCAACTCAGTCATAGGTCTCGGTATCAGGTACTCCAGTAATTAAACGTTCTCTGGATAAACCAATTATGCTAGAAGTAAAACACGGAGGCTCCTAGGATGCAAAACTCGCAATTTCTTTTGTTGTGGAGCTAGGGTTTTATTATATAAAGTATGTGTCCGACCTATTTTAGAATACTGCCCGTTTATTCTTAGTGGACTCAGACAAAATAACAAGCTTAAGTTAGAAGGAGTGCAACGGCAATTCACCTTAAGAATTTTTGGTTTAGAAAGTGGTCTCGAATACTATGAACGTTGCAAGAGACTAAGTTTAGAACCACTCTGGAAAAGACGTCTTAAGCTAAACCCGATTTTTTACTACAAGATAACTAATCTGCTCGTGCACTCCTCCGAGCCAATAATTAAACCAACCGCTGTCATCAGTTACAATCTTAGAAATCATCACAACCTAGCTGCTATAGAGCATTGTCAGACTTACATGCGGTACAACTCCTTCCTAAATAAGTTTTCAGTCATTTGGAATAGACTACCAGATAATGTATGTGAAGCAAACACACTTCCAGTGTTCATCTCCTCAGTCACCAGACTGCTCAAAGATGATAATGCATTCCTGCGCCTGACTCCTACACCCTCTTGTTATAATAGTAATAATATATTCTCATTTTTTACATGAGGGACGCCAGTTTACAGGTATCATCAATTCGATAAATTACACATACGATTAGTAAGTATAGTTAGTAATGATAATATAATAAGATACATATTTATTCCTACAAATGTAGGACACACCAGTTGTATAGGCATGGATAAGTATTACTTAAGTTACATATTTAAATTACATGATTTACGGTTAAACAACATAGTTGCTGTCATTTCATCTTCAGTTTGTGGGAAGAATCTGATAACTAGTGATTCAATGGAATTCATCAAGAAATATAGAGATATTGACTTCGTATTAACAAAAAAATCCAAGTATGCGTTGGATGGATTACAGATACTTGGGAAAATAAATAAAGCTTGAAGTCAATTCCCTCATATAACAATAAAATGTGTCTTATAATAATATATTTTCAATTTATGCACATGAGGGACTCCAGTTGACAGGCATCATCAATATCATAATAATGGGCACATGGAGTAAGCATGTTTAAAATTTTCACTGACACAAGATATATATATACAAGAGAAGGTAATAGAATAATGACAGTAAGCACACTCTGAATAAGTTAAAACAATTTATGTGGCATAATCCTAGGCGGCTGACCTTAAATATCACGTTCTAGAACAGTCGTTAAAATTTCACTTGGAAATTATTTTTTGTCAATAATTTTCAATAAAGTTGTGTTATATGTTATCTGGATTGATGGGAATTCCCATTTTCTAGCCACTTACTTTGGTGTCCACGTCATGTAATCCGACTGCGACACCCCTTAGCATATTGGTTGCAACGATCAGTGTTTCAGGCGAACTTTAGCAAAATATCGCTATAATGAGAAAGATGGGATAGTTGAAGGGCAATGTCATCTACACCGATAGTCTACTTTATTTAGATGCTGCACCTTTCGGCATGGTATCATTCAGTGGAGACTTCACGGGTGACTCTAAACTTTAGCAGCCCAAACCGAAACTACCTTGAGAACGGAAGGATGACCTTGAGCAGGCAATCACCTGACTCGGAATGGATGCTGTACATCGTTTGCGGTGAAAATTCGCTCCAGAGTTTGTTTTTGATTACTGTTTAGAGAACAGGCTGATAGCGAGGTCGAAAACTTGCCAGTGCGGAGGTGTAATGCATATACAAAAATACACGAGGTGCATCGACGGTTATGTTTACCGTTGCAGGGAGTGCAGATGCAGAAAATCGATCCGAGAGGGTATGTCGTTATTTTTTAGTTTATAGGGCAAAGTTCCCTTAGATACTTTTTCGCGAAAGTTTCTGGAGTCATCTCAAAAAACGGATAAGATCTGTGAATGGATCAAGAAATCTAATGATTTACAGTTATCTCGACGAGTTTATGTATAGGACTTGGTTTAACATGACTTTAAAGACTCCTATGTCAAATTGGGAGGTTATTTTGCAACATATACGAGAACGCTATCCTTTGTAACTATTTTTTAACATTGCATTACTTGTATATAAACGATTTATTGAAATTATGCGCCGTTCATTTTAAGCCTTCTGATTGGTTAAAGTTGTCCTTGTCCAGGTCATTTGTCCGTTCGTAAGGTAGTTTTCGTTTGGGCTGCTAAAGTTTACAGTTACCCACAATAATAAACGCGAAGAAGTACTGGGACATACTTGTACGCTATTTTGGTCAAATAAAGCACTGCAACAAGTTCAAACGCTCAAATATCTTGGATATTGAAGTTGGTGGGACTGTAAAGGCTGCGTTACACTAGCTCTTGATTTGATTTTGATTTTGATTACAGCTTGATTCCACGCTGATGGTAAGTTCAGTGTGACACTAATTTACGTAATTCAGGAATATCGCGAAATCGCCAAATATGTTTTGACAAGTTCACCAGACTGGTTCCAGTCAAACGTAGTGGCCGTTACAAATTGGCAAGCTAATAACAATGGAGGACGTGCTCTTGTTGCATTTTCCTCTCGTTCATATATACACGTTCTCATCATTAAACAAGAAATGAACTGGGAAAATCAACAGGAATATTCGTGGGGTTGTGTGGGCCAGATAATTGCCCACCAAGACAAAATATCGGCAGTAACCTTTGATGAGTGTGCTTGTTTGCGTGTGGTTTCTTGTGGCTTTGATGGTTTGGTTCGACGTTGGAAGTATTTCAGTCAAGAATGGATGCTGGAGACCGAGTTTAATATACAGGAAGTGCGGGGAAATATCAACCCAACAGCTGTCAGCTGTTTCTCCTGCTCTGCAAATGAGTCATACAACTTCGTGGGCACAGATAGAGGGTGGCTTTTTGTATGGGTTGTTGACTGTGAGACGAATAAATCTTACTATGTATCTAAAAAATTCGAAAACGACTCTGTTGTGATGTGCGCATGGGAGAAATGTGCAATAGTTCAATCCATTTCGCGAGTTGCTGTCGGTTACAAGAAAGGAATTGTGTGTGTTTATTCATTTATACCGTCGGATATTTCTTCAACTCCAAGCATCGTACAGTTGACCCGCTTCTATGCTCATGAGGCGGATATCTGTCATATTGTATGGCGCTCAAGTGCTTCTGCGTCATCGTCAGATCCTGAGATTCTTACATGCGGACGTGATCAGATGGTTAAGGTGAGTGTTCGACAAAGTCTTCAGTCAAATTTCAGTTTAATATTTTCTAAATAATAAATAATTTCCTCACTAAATTCACCGTTTTACTGTCAAAAGACGTGTCAGTTAACTGTGTAGAAATGGTTGTACGCTGCAACTTTTACAGTGTGGCAATCTATGGGATATGTGTTATGTGCGATTTGGTAGATCACTTGCTTAGCTGTTGTTGTTTGAAATAAGTCCCAGCCAGTTATTCGTGTTGCACGCTTCATGGGATTCCATTCGTCAAGCTTGTCTAAAAAATGGGCGATGGTCTTACTTCAAATACCGATGACAAGTATGTATGCTGAGTGAAACCTACCAGTGTAAGGTTTTAGTATCGAGTATTCATTGATTTATACGTTTATGTTTTTGTCCAGTCAATAAATAATCATGTTTCTCAATCCCTTTTATTACATATCATTGCGTTCACCTGACACGAGGTGTAGAAAACTCACGTTATAAGTTAAGTACTACGCATTATAAAAAAATATTAATGTATGTATAACATGTTCAGATGTCTAAGTGTGTATTGATTTGAGATACAACTGGTTTACACTCAGTATCAATGATAATTTGCAGTTACACTCACAACTAACCAATTAAATCTCCATTCTCGTTTGAAAACTATAGTGGAATAGTGTGACCTGTTTCGCGTTTGTTTTTTCTCTGTCGGTGATAGCCGACCATACACATGGTCTGGGTTCGCTCCCCGGCCGATGCACACCTGATATCAATGGTTGGCCTGCGAAATTTGGACTACCGATATCACATGCTGAAAATTCCATACTTGTATCAAAAATACTGTGTGGAGTCAAGCTACAATAAGAAAAATACTACTCAAGTTATTTTATAGTGGACATCAATACTGTTCTATATGTGTCCTACATTCCTTCAGTTTTATATATTACTTAAATTTTTGGAGTGACATTTTTGTCGTTTAGGAACAGGGAAATTATGTAGTCTGACTTTGTGTTATCAGTTTTAGACACGAGTATTTAGGAGTCTGTAAACGAAAACTGAATCCTATAATCAATATTCATGTGTATGTGAAACTGAGTAACTAATTAATTCGTCAGCAGCTGTCTCAGTCTACAGGATGCCATTCAGACGCCGGCAACTGGAATCTTAAGGAAATTTAGGCTTCTTTCCCAGTCCGATTATAACCCAGTGACATCAAATTGTTGATTATTCCTTTTTAACCTTTTTACGTTATGTATGATGATAACTTTTATCGTTGTTGTGTTATGAATAGAAGCAAGTGGAACAAATGAATTCGTCCGACATATGATATCATTAGTGCACAGTGTTCAACGAATAACTGATTTCATGTTTCCTAATATTTGAATGATGCTATTTATTAGGGGTATGTTTATCCATCTTAACTAGACAGATATTTCTAGGTATTGCGTCTTGTGTTCAGCGATATTTTTCATATTATCAGACATAATGCACGATAATGTGGGTGAAAACAGAGAGTCGTTACATCATTTTTCCTTAAATCCTTTTATTGATTAGTAATTGGACATATGATATGCAGATTTTGACTTAAAACAACTATAACTTTAAAGGTTAAACGGCATTTGTTTACAATTCTAATGGTTGCATATGTTTGCAGATAAATTCGCAATTTTCAGCCATCGATTATGGTAAAATTGGTTGAAGCACTCTCGATCTTCGATCTTCTTAGGTAGATCTACTGTATTTCTCTTATTTGGTCTGCCTTTTGAAGCCAGGAAACATTATATATAAACTAATTAAGTATTTATTCCGACTCCACACTTTAAATATGCTTACACTTCTGACAACACAAAGCGGCTAACGACCATCTCATAATTTTTTATTTTCTGTTTTTTATTCGTTTACGTTCGCACTGGAACATAGGGCTTCAAGCTAGAGACTTAAAGTTTCTGTAGCAGTGGTGATTATTTTTACAGGATGGGGTTGCTAGCCTCGTGCCCAACCTTCCCTCCTGACCAGTCTCATTACTGATTTAGCGAGGTAAAGGAGTCTTTCAGCCGGGGATCGAACCTCGGACCACTTGCGTAGTCCGCGAGCACTCTACCTCTGTGCTACCGACGCACAAAAATGTCAGCATCATTACTAACTTCTTCCTCTAATTTACCAGGGGAATTTCACTTTCTTCGGCATTATGATTATTCCTGCTTCTATTAGCCGACAGTTTCTACTTCGTATTCACTCGTGTTTTGAAGTATGTTATGTTGTCGTTCTAGTAATCGTATTCTTAAACTTTGCAGGGACTGAATAGTTTCGTTTCTATTCGTTGTATTCCTGTAGAGAAATTTTAACAAATGCCTCTTTTCCATTAAACGTTTATGTTTTCCCACGTTAATGATATTCTTTCTCCCGTACATTTCTGCACATTATAATTCCCTTGAATCTTTGTTTTTTTTCTCTAACTTTTTGAGCTACATATAGTGTGGCAACAAACTTCTATCGGTACTTCTGTGTAAAGTTCTGTGCTGAAATCCCCATTTCTGTTTAATTTCATCGTAGATGTACTAATGGACTGAGTCCTGACTGACTTCAGCGACTCAGATTGTCTTGTTACCATGACTATGTGGATCATGTAGTCATCCTTCGTAAATGAAGACGCTGGAAAAATACAGAGTCTTCTAAACACCTTGAGCAGCAGTTGTCGAATGTTTGGCATGCGATTCGCTCTTGTCATACTAGAGGGCTGCACTACGTCGATTCCTAGCTTAAAGATAAGCAGGAGTGAAGTGGTAGAGCGTGTTGACCACTTCACTTATTTGGAAAGTTCCATTAACCAGTCCCAGTGCGTTGATCGCTGACGAAATCTCACTATGGATACAGAAGACTTGTTTGGCTTTTGGCCCGCCAACTTAAACCATCTCTAGTGTAGACGTGATATCTGGCTGGCTGTTGACCAAAGTACGTGTAAACTGCTCACCAGTTGACTCCCACCTACTCCTTTATAGATGTGAGTGAAACGTGACCACTGACAGTGAAAGACATGGAAAGCCCGACGAGCTATCTTTCATCATACGTGTCTGTGTTATGGTATGGTATGATAGGGTGAGTAATATTGTATTGAGGTTAGGCATCGGTCGAGTTCTAGGTAAGGAGGCTGGGGAAGACAACCAACGAGATTGTGATGTTACATCGATTGAGATGCCTAGGAAAGGTGTCATGCCTGCTAGCCTAGCCATCGACCGCCTTACTCGACGGGAAATCTTACCTAGCTGACATAGGATCGGTGAGGTCTAAAATAGCTACTGGTGGTGAAACGAAAACACGACATCACCAGTCAACAAAATCCATAACAGTTGGTTTAAGCCAGCCAGTCAGCAATATTTTTCGTGTGTCTGTGTGGACACACATACATAGGGAGGAGTAATCGTGCTTTGTATGTGAGGGTGGGAGATCATATCCTGAAATGGTTTGAAAAACAAATGAATTGTGGAGAAGCAATAGACGCAGGTGTCAGACTACCAACTTCGTCTGTTGCTAAGCATCTAATCGAGATTAACCATAAGGTTGATGTTAACTCAGCCTCTAAGGTCATCTATAAAAAATGGTCAGGGGCACTTATTGGAATACGCTGAGGCTATAGCTATTCATAAACTTAAGCCTCCCCATGTATTCGAAAACAGTTTATTATTACTCTTAACTTATCTTGGTAATCCTTATTTGATTGGATTACTAAACGTTGTGCTAATCATTCTGAAATCCTTTTTTGTCACTTTGTTTAATTTAATTGCCCTTAATTTTTTCAAATATATTGACTTGACAAGTAAATGTGTGAGCAGATTGTTCGAAATGTAAAACGCGAATACATCACATTTTTCAGATAATCTCCGTCTTCTATTAGCACTATTCGAATATCCAATGAAACTCTATTGTTCTTTCGGATTACTGTCCTCCCCTGACTCACACTTCCGTTTCTTGTCATGCTGTGTGTGCTAAGTGGAGTGCGAGAACTCGAACTGCTGCACATCTGTTCAAAGTTCTGTGTTGAAACCAGTGTGTCAGTCAGTAATATATTAGTATATTCATATGCAGTAGGACACCATTTTTGCTAATGTTTGATTTCTTTTTGATTTCTGTAAATAGGTATGGAATGTCACCACTTCAGAATGTACTTCATCTTACCAAGTTCCCGGTCAATTACGTCAACAATTTGGAAATGCTGGACGACATAACGAGAAAAGTGAACAAAATGGAGCTCCATGGATATCTGCTTGCTACACACCAGGAAGTGATTCGTCAGTGAATGTTTTATTCTCAAGTGCACGAGGTGGATTATTTCACTGGGATTGCAAAGGAACGCCTAGCTGTATGTCGCTTGACAGTCAGGGACATTCTATGCTAATTTTCTCAATGCACTACTTTCTTAATTCACCAGGACTGGTAATCACTTTGAGTCAAGATAGATTTTTGATTGTTTGGCAGTTGGTGGAAGGATCTAAGTTGTCAGTGATTCTTAAAGTACCTACAATGTCTGCAGGTGTTTGCTCTTTAGCTCAATCTGAATTTAGCAATGGTCCCTTAGTTGCAGGTCTTTCAGACGGTTCCATCATATTTTGGAAGTTTCCTGCACCAGAATTGTTTGGCGAAAGAAATTCTTCTGATAATCAAAAGAAAGAAAAGTTTGTTTCAATATCACCTCGAGGATGCAAATCATCTTCGATAACCACTCTGTCTTGTCATCCTTTACCGCAGTTTGAAAATGTTATTGCTTATGGCACTGAATCACGTTGTGTGGAGATTGTAGATATTAATAAGCTACGAAGAATGAAATCACAAAAGCCTAAACCGCAGCTGTATGCATTTGGTTCAACTGTATATCGAGTTACCTGGGGGCCTTTACTGTTTTCTGATATATATCGTAGAAAGGCAAATAAAAGTGAAGAGAGAACTAGCGAAATCAATCATTCGAAATCTGATAATTC